TTCTATTTGTTCTCTTCTTCTCTTCTCCCTCCATCATCGAGCATTTCTCTTCTCCGTCCATTTCCCTTTCCATCCTTTCTCTCCTCTCGGGGTCGGAGAAGAATTCTCGGGCGGTCTCCTCTCTACTACGCCATATACACATATATACTGTACATGCACAGGGACGCACAGCAACATACACACACATGTGAGAGCACGTGCATATACATCCGCTTACATATGTCCGCTCATAAACGCGCAACACTTCGCACATACACATAAGCACGGAAAACTACTTCTTGCCGTATAATAATCACGACTATAGTATTGAGGTGGCACTGAATTAATAGAAAATGATAAATGTATTGTAGTTATTTAAATAACTCCATAACATTTTACAAGTGATTCCACACTTTGTTTGAGGCAGTCCCATTCGTGGGTCTCCCGGGATCAAGCCCCACATTTATGGAAGCTCCTAAGCTTAGGATTCTGTCTAACAGGAGATCGCCCTAAGAGACCGTCGACCACTGGCTTCCTTCCTCCCTCGTGTCTCCTTTCAAAGGCACAACCGAGAAATCCACTTGCGGGTGGTTCCACACTTGGCATGGGGCAGTCTCGAACGGGCGTCTCTGGAGATCCCTCGCCACGCATCTAACCTCCATCACGTTCTTTTACTCGATAGATACAAACGGTTAGTTTAAACCAAGCTTTTGTAATAGGATAATCTAGCTGGTTAACTCGAGATGTATGTGTGTACATATGTCTGTCACACTAATTCCTTGTATTAAAAGCCATAAAAAAATCGCAGTTGACGATTTGAAATGGTATTAGTTCATGAACGCCATATGGAATGTTAAATAATGTATGATGAACTCCATAATGGGGAAACAAAGTTGTAGAAAAGGTATAAAGGAGAATGAATAAATTCACAAATCAAAATTCAATTAGATTTAAATTCATTCTACATTTGCGCATTTGTAAAAGATGTTCGGATTTTGCTTTAGCTCATCTTTGCATATATTACTTTGTATTTCACAATCTAACTTTTTAAAAACGAATCTATTTTCTATGAGAAAATAAACGGATACTGTAGCGGAAGCATTGAACTCAAGTAAAACTAAGATAAGAAATAAAAGAAAAAGTTGATCTGAGGAAGAAAGGAACAAATGATACTCTAAAATCACATGAAGCTGTATACCTCTTTACTATATTCGGTTATATATTACAGCACGTGTCTTTCAGGTCCCAATGCTGTAGCGATTCATTCTTCTCTCTCTCTCTCTCTCTCTCACACTCTCTCTCTTTCTTTCTCTCTCTCTCTCTATATATATATATGTATAAATATATGTATGTGTGTATATATATATTCATATATATATATATGTATGTATGTATATGTTTAATATATATATAATATATATAAATATATAGATATATGTGCATCTACATGTATATATGTTACACCCACACCCACACACATACAGAAAGACACACACACATACATATATATTTGTGTTTGTGTGTCTGTGTGTGGGTTTGTGTGTTTTGTTTTTTTTTGTATGTGTTTATGTGTATTTGTCTGCATGAGTGTGTGCGTGTATATGTATTTGTGTGTTTATGTGTTTGTGTGTGTGTGTGTGTTTACTTGTGTGTGTTTGTACACATGCATTTGTATGTATGTGTATTTGTGTGTGTGATTATGTGTGTGATTAGGTGTGTGTTTATGTATGTGTGTGTTTGTGTGTGTATGATGAAATCAATAAATCTAGTTTTGCATTGTGGGTTTTTCTACCATATTCATAAATATATCAGTATATTTATGTATATAGACATATAGTGTATATATATATACCTACACTATATATACATACATATATACATATAGATATATAAACACGTATACTGTACATATATTTATATACATAAAATATGCTT